GATGGAAATTCCGCTATCAAACACCCCATCAGTAGAATACAATTTCAAATGATAAATATGCTTTCTTCGATTGGTTCTTGTTTGACAGTGACTGTAATTTCGGCTAATCGAAGAATGACAAATCCAGCTCGATGTTTTCTTCTTTACAAACTTTAATGATAAATTCCTCAAATTCTGTTGATGTCGCGAATTGTCGGAGTTGTAGACAGGTTTCACATTGAATTTGATTTCGGTTAGGATTCTTCGTAATTTGTGATAAAAAAGAAAACTCGCGTTCGAGCCCTGAGGATGAACTTGGAATATACAAGACCTTAAATAAAAATGATAGTTTTCAAAAATACTTTTTCTACGATACTTTTTCTGCACATCGCGCCAACCGTGGCATAACTAATTGAACATATGGACTTGTCCAATAGCTAAGGAGACGTTTAGAAGTAAAATTTGGAACATTGTCGGAAAATTGAGCTTTTGCCGCGGACCAAATGACTCTCAATTGCTCATCACATGCAGCATCATAACGAACGATTTCTTCGTCAATAGAACTCTTTGAAGCCAAACTTGGCTGGCTACTGCCTTGAAAAGAGTTGATTTTTGTTGTTCAGACATTTAGAAAAATGATTTTTCGAACTCTTCCTTTACTGTAGTCATCATCAGAATCTGCATCATCATCTTCAATTTGAACATGCTCCGTCTCCATCGAATCATAACCAGAGCTCAGAATTCTGTCCGTCAATCTAATATTTTTCATGGCAAGCTGCTTCCATCCTTCTGAATCAGCCAAATCGCGAATTCGTTTTCCATTTTCGCGGAAAAAAGCATGACTGTTGAAGGCTTTTTTGAAAAAGCTGCAGGGATGTGCCTTCGCAGTGCGGATTCCGCACTAAACTTCGCAGTGCGAGGTGCGATTACGGAAATTTCGCACTTCGCACCGCACTCAGACCTGATATTTTTCATCGCACCGCACTTCGCACTTTCCGCAAAATTTTTGAAAAGTGCGATTCTTTTCGCAGTCGTATCCCGCACTATTCAACCTTCATCGCACTTCGCACTTTGCGGATTTTGCGGTCCATTTGCAGACAATTTCTGTAAATTTTTGTCTTTTTGGGCCGTCTCAGCCCCGTTCCATGATTTTTAAGTTTAAGGGGCTTGACAAAGGCTTTGAACTCTGAGTTGATCAAGCTCAGTTCTGTCCCCAACCCCACCCACAAAAAAATTCAAATCATCATTGTTTAAACCTCAATAATGGTTATGATTGGAAGTTTTTAAAATTATTTCTATTCGGGGCGTGGGAGAAATTTTCGGTGATTTTTATTCATTTTTCCTACTCTCTCAAAAAATCGCAATTTTTTCGCACTTTTCATTTATTTTCCGCACTTCGCACTTTCGCACTTCCGCACTTTTCGCACTATCGCAAAAATTTCCGCAATTTGTTTCCACATTTCGCACTTCGCACTCTGCGTCGCACTGCGAAGAAAAATTTGAAAAAATCGCACTTCGCACCGCAGAAAAACCCGCAAAAAAAATCGCACTTCGCACCGCACCGCACTCGAAAAAAAAGCAAAAGGCACATCCCTGCAGCCAAAAAAGAAAACTGATTTTTTTGAACTTTGATGACCTCTAGTGACCGGAAGATGAACTTTTTTCGAAATTTTGAGCTCGGAATCGAATTTTTGGGTACTTGTTTACTATTGTCACAAAGTTTTGTTCAAAAAGGGATAGGAAATCGATCACTTATTGTTTTCAGCGGGTACCTACTTAAAAAGCCAGGCTTGATGATTTTAGCTTTTTGACTGTTGGCGAAAACGTACAGTTTTTGAGCGAGGGATTGAGGAAGAGACACAATAAGCACACAGGATGAGATCGCTTTGGACCTTGCACCTTCTTGACTTCTCCATTTAAAAGATATCCATTGAAAAGCGTAGACATTATTTTTGATGCGCATCCAAAAGCAAGTGCTTTTTCGATTTCTTTCTCATCAGAGTCAAAGCCAGTTTCTCCACATGTGGACAGGAATTCCAGTATTTCACTGTAAGCACAGTAGACATCGGCGCCCCGTGAATCATTGAATTCCGAAAATCTCAGCCGTCCCATAATGAAACTCGTTATCTTATAGACTATAAGTTATAGTAAGCCTAGAAAAAATGAAAAACACGCCCAAAGCTACGAAAAAAATCCGCCACGAATTGGATTTTGCCAATTTATAATTGAAAACTTTCACAATTCAGCAAATGTCCAACAAAAAATCCGTTAACTTCAATCAACTGAAAGGAGTCTTATTTCTGTTAGTTTCTTATTTCTTTTCAACTGTCGAAAAACCAAACCGTGATAGAGGTCCGTGATAAGGGTGTTAATGTGGATAAATGGAGCATCGCTTCGTTTCTTTATTTCATTATTTTCATAATAGGGTTTGAATTGAATGTCGTTTGTCGCTAAGCTGACTATCCAAGCTTTATCATTTAGCGAAATTTGTTTGAAAGCATCTCGCTGAATAATCAAAGACTTGTTTAGTCATACTGTAGCGCGTTATTTCTCTTCTCTATCTCTTTCTCTCTCGTCGATTGTGGCTTTTTTGACGTCGAACAAAAGTTTAATTGATTGAAATACTGTCACAATCAATATAAACCCTTTGATTCTCGATCAGTAAACAGCCATTCCATTTTTTCCTCTTTCTTCGTTTTTGTCACATAAGATGAAAGCAAAAATAAAAAAGAAACAAAACAATGCTAGAATTCTAAAAACTAAATTAACGTTGATGAATTTAAATGATGGGAGATGGCTAATGCCCTGAAGAAGGAACCGATAGTCGTTGCCACTTTTCGAAATTTGTGTCAGATGGTTTTGCCAGAGCAGAATCAGAGCGGGTATTTGATGTGCTTTTTCCCCGTCAAGTCTTTTGAGCGATTTTAAAACTCTCATTAAAGGGCTAAAAAGTACTCCATAATTTATCTCCTGTCTTCTGATTTTATTCCATATCTATTCGAAAACAAACGACCAAAACAATTTTCCTTTTTAGCGATGAAAAAAGATCATAAAACGATAATTATCTCTTTTGATTTTTTCTTTCTTTTTTTAGTTTGAATAAAAACTTCGAGAGATCGTCGATTTCTTCGATTTTTGGAATCTAAAATCTAGCGCAAATAATCCAAAAAAAGCACTTTGTGAACTGCTTCATTTAAAAATTTCAAAAACGAACAAACGCTTTTGGTCGAATCTCAAAGTGCATAGAAAAGTTAATTTCTAATAACTTCACATTTTATCGTAATTTTTGGGCACGAGTTAGCGAAAATCATCGAATTAGGCTGGTTCTTGTTTAGCAGGGGATTCGGACGAGATTATCTCAATTTAAATAAAGGATCCAAAAGCGTTTCGGAATAAAGAGTTGAAAGCGTTTTTTGAAAGAGGCAGATTTCCGATTCTTCATTTTTTGGTAAAATACTGTAGATAATCCTCTAGTGGGTAGCGCGCGCCGAATCCTGTTCTGGGTAGCGAGGCCCTATTTTGCAAGTCGCGCGTTCATAAAAGCGCACTTGTATGAGCAATAGAATATTACTCATTGTGATAACACTCTTCGGCTTCAAGAAAATTTGAAGTCTAAATGGTGCGTCTAGTAGACATGGCCTTTGGATCATCAAAATTGTCTTTGAATGTGTTAAAAGGATGATGGAGGTAACTTTTGCAGGAAGTTCGTGATGTGATTCTAACACTCTGACAAAAACTAGACAAAAACTTCAAGGCGATTGAGTGATGTATTGGATTGAATACTTTTTACAGGGCAAAGGTTTTCTTATATACGGCAAAAGTGTGTCAGGAGCGTCATATGGCGCAGTAGGTAAGTAGGTCAGTTGGAAACTTTTCTAGGCGGGGCGTCATTCCGCATCGATGGTTTCCAAGGGCGATTCACAAACAAAGTCGATAACATAAAAAGGGGCAGAAGTAGGGCGCAGAAATAGGGCGAAATAAGGGGAAAGCAAATAAGGGCGGTAAAATAAAGTTTTTCTTTGCGCGTGCTAGTATCGTATCATCTATCGTTTGTCGGCGGGTCTTCAAAGAGTTGATTCTGTTCTGTTTGAAAAATTGTCTGCTTGAAGAAGTTGGTTGGATTGTTGATTCTCCTGGTGTTGGGGCTGTTGCTGTGGCTGTTCGTATTGTGGTTGGAGGACGATTCGGGGAGTAGCATTGCAGTCGGATTTTTTGCATCTGAAGATGATTCCAAGTATGATGATGACGACCACAAGGGTTGATACTCCTGTGAGCCAGCCCATTATTCGTGCTTTCTATCCGGGCGTTTCCTGGTTTGGTACGAATCCTGGTTTGGTACGAATCATGGTTTGGTATGAATCCTGGTTTGGTACGAATTCCGAAATCATACCAAACCATGATCTGTACCAAACCAGGATTTGTACCAAACCAGGAAAATCGAGAGTCCAAAATCTCAAAAATCAAAAAATGAAATCATCGACTCTTATCAATTGTGCTCGACCCCCCCTTCGGCCTCAATATTTGAAATTATTTTTCAGGAGATAGACTTTATTTCTCAGAATATTATAAAAAATACTTCACGAGTTCAATCTTGCAATAGTTTGAAATTGCGCGCGCCTATTTGTGATTGGTCAACCGTTTTTGACGAGATTTTTCATACTGGGTCGGGGAAGATTTTTTTGAGAAAGCTAAGGAAATCGAGAAGAATGAATAAAGAAGACTTGAATTTATTTTTAACTGATTTTTTCTTAATGTTTTGTGCTTTGAAACTGTAAATTATTATTTTTTTTTAAATCTAAGTTAATCTCAGTACGGTGATCTTCTACGGTCAACCAAAAAATTTAAGCTTTTGAATTCTGGAAGAACGAAAGAGGAAGAACGAAAGAAAGACTTGAACTCGTGATGCGAAACATTCGAGACGTCCTGCGCATCCGGGGCTTTTGGGTTCGCGACTTCGATGACCCGTCGATTAGCGTGGAGAAATTGCGAGTGTTCTCATTGACAAGTCTAATATTTTAATCATGGGCCCAACTGGCTCTGGAAAAACACATCTAGTCCAGGTAAAACGACAACAAATGTATAAAAAACTATCAGAAGCCCACTTTTAGACGCTTGCAAAATATCTAGACGTCCCCTACGCCGTCGCCGACTGCACAGCCCTAACTCAAGCAGGCTACGTCGGCGAAGATATCGAATCGGTCATTCAAAAGCTTTTGCAAAACGCTGGAGGAAATGTAGAAAAGGCCCAGCGTGGTATCGTTTACTTGGACGAGATAGATAAAATTGCAGCGAGAAAGCTATCCGGCGGTAACTTCCGCGATGTTTCTGGCGAGGGTGTTCAGCAAGGACTGCTCAAATTGCTGGAAGGGTCGGTTGTTTCTGTCAAAGATCCTTTTAAAAAACCTGCAGCGGGAAATAATCAAGGTAAAGCAAATTGTTAGACTCCTAAAACAAGGCTCGAATTCTCCAAAAGAAGTAGAAGCCCGTTATCTTAGTCCAAACCCTACCCCTAATCGTATGGTTTTAGTGGACACTTCTGATATTCTCTTTATCTGTTCGGGCGCGTTCACTGGACTGCCGAAGCTCATTCAAAGCCGTTTGCAAAAGAAGTCTCTTGGTTTCACGACGAAGCCTCAAAAAGTCTCTCTCAGTAAAAAGTCCAAAATCGCTGCAATGGAGGGATTCTTGGGCGCTGACAGCGATGTGTTGGACAGACAGCTTTACGAAATCTACTTCAAAAACGTCTTCGTTTCATATGCAAAGGTAGGAGAAAGCTTTGCCTTACCGAGATAAAGGTCTTTCTTAGGAAAAAAGGCTCAACGAGAACGAGCTTCGATACAAAGTAGACATGTTCATTAGAAGATGTATTCAAACGGCTGCTGCAATAATTGATTTCGAAGAGGTGAGATATATTTGAAGCTTTTTTGATTACAGTTGACTTGTAAAAATTAAAAAGGAGTCTTTTTGCAATAATTTCCTCAGCAATTTTTTTTCGCATATTCTTTCTTGGTTCAATTGATATATCCTTGAATTCGCCTTGGAAAATTAACGATCTCATTGCCAAACACAGTATTATTCCACAATTATTCGAGCCAGAGATTTGTTGAGGGCAATAGCCAATTGTTTTCTCCCATTGAACACCTTTATATGACTGTAAAAAACTTCGCTCTATAGTCTTGAAACAGTCATTGTAATCGCCATGCATTTCTTCAAAAAATGATTCGAGTTGTTTTGAGTCGTAAATAATCATTTTGTGTTCAGATGGAATGACCCGCATCAACATCCAATGCCATCGAGTTGAACAATTGATTGGAATATAAATTTCATCACCATTGTACGGGTTGGCGCTTCCCATTGAAGGTAAGCCATTGTTGAGTTGTGTATAGAATAAAGCCGACTTGATAACAACTCTTTTTCCAAGGGCATCAGCTTCATTCAAAAGAATAGAACTATAGACGTCAATGGCCCGATCGCTTATTCCAACTTTAGGTTTTAGTTCCATAAATGTTTCCAGTCTCAAATCGTAGCCATATACTTCTTCAATAACTTGATTCTTAGCTTTCGCAGTTCGTCCACGTTTTTTGAAATGGTTATTGACCTGTTTCTGTAAAGCAGCAGATAAAGTTAAAGTATCATTTTCAGCCTTCGATTCGATTTTGGATGGCTCTGGATGGAGAATGACGACTTCTGGATCTTCCTTGATTTCATCATTTTTTTCAGGTATGATCGCTGCGCCCGATGCACATTTGAAATAATCCGTAATTCTTCGTTGCGCACTTAGATTTTCTTCCTTGATTTCATCATCCTTTTTTGCAGCTTTCTTTTCTCGTTTTTCATAAACATTTTCGACACGAAAGTCCAGTCTTTTCTGCAATGTTGTTTTATGAATATCATTTGGAATATCATTCATAAATGCATTGAATTCTTCTTGATTTGATAGAGCGTTAGTAGCAATCGACTTGGACAAGTATATATCTTTACAGCAACGTCGCAGTTGTCTTTGAACCATATCGATGTCAAGTTGTGATAGCTCGTAAATGCAACCACTTCGTCGCTTGTAAACATCAGCCAGACGACGTAGAGCATTACCTCTTACGAATTTTTGCAATAGGTCTTGACTAGAGTAGAGTGGGAATTTACCGCCGCCAAGTATTGACATTTCGTTTGACCAGTTGTCCATTTTATGGTTGTATAATCTCGTAACCAGCGCGGTGGCATTTGCTGGCTTTTTCGTGTCTCCACCCTGGGTGAGCAAGCTATTTTCATTCTCCAGGCTATTGTTGGTAATGCTCTCGTTTCTGTCAAGGACTTTTTTGTTGTTGCAAGCCCAATCTTTTTTTAGTTTGATATTTGTATTTAATATTGACTTTTTAAGAGAATAATCTGTTAGAACCATGTTTAAATACTTATCATTTAATTCAGATATAAAAACGAGAGAGTTGGATGGAACGAGACAGAAGACCTTCAAAATCTTGGCTGAAAAGACTGTACTCGAACAGAAACAAGACATCGAAGAAGTGAAAGTAAAGAATGTTCAAAATCAGATGGAAAACGTAGAAAAGAAGGGGTCAAAGCTGGCCGAAGAATTGATCCGAACAAGAGAAGAAAAAGAAAACGCCGAGAAGATGCTGAAAAACATTGAGCTCGACGGAAAAATTATGGAAAAATTTAAGAACGATCTTTCGGAAGCGCAAAAAAACTACTTCTCCGTAGCCATAAAAGCCAAAACATTGACAGAAGAAGCTAAGAAGAGTGAATCCAAAATCGCCGAACTTGAAAGTCTCGTCAGCTTGGGATACGCGGAGAAAGACAGATTATCTGCCGAAATCCGCGCTCTGGCTTTAAAAGCGAATCAGAAAGAAAAAACAGAAACGAAGGAAGTTGCCGAGTTGAAATCTCAAATTGCCTCGCTTCGAGAAATTAACGAAACTTTCCACAAAAACGTCACCAGCTCTTCTGAAAAACTCATGCTCGAGAAGAAGGAATGCACGAAATTGCGCGGCCAAATCGCTCAATTCAACAAAACCAACAAAGAGAACTACGACCTCAAAAGTACAATCGCACAGATGATGACCGAACACGAAGTCACCAAGAAGACTTTGAAGGACAAAGATACCCTCGTCGAGGCGCTGAATAAAAAGGGACGAAGCAAAAACGAACTCACCAAAAAGCAAACTCAACAGCTCAGACAGACTGTTTCGGAGCTCAAAATGGAGCTTGAAGCTCTCAAGTAAGTGTTGACCTATAAAATTTTGAACCATCAAAGCTTCAATTTAGAAGGCCTATCTTTTAAGTTCTCACTTTATGAATTTATTTGGGTGATTCAATTCCCCCGTAAAATAAGAACCTTCAGAAACTAACATCTTTTTAGGGACATTTCTGCATCAAACGAGCAGTCAATGAAAAACGAGCTCGACAACATGGAAAAACAACTGCACCTCGCGATAGAACAAACAGTCTAATTGGAGGACAATCTCCAAAAAATCATTTCCGAAAAGAGCAATCTCCTCAGCGAAAAGGAACGTGAAAACGCGAAGAAATCTGCTGAGCTTAGCCAGCTTAACGAGCAGCTGGCGAAGATATGTGAGCTCGAGAAAATCCACCAGGTAAAATTAAAACTCCAATAGCTAAATAAAGAAAAGCTAAAGAAAAGTAAAGAAATTAAACCTCACTAAGAACCTAAGTGTCAGCTGGAACATGGTCGACCTTTGCCTTGGTGATCTTTGGTATCTCGATCTTGCACGACACGAGCAAGTTTTCAAAGATGTCTTGCTTGTCGCTCAGGGTGAAATGGCTCTCGTGAAATGGCGAAGATATGTGAGCTCGAGAAAAGCCACCAGGTAAAATTAAAACTCCAATAGCTAAATAAAGAAATCTGCTGACAACATCCTCTTTTTCTTATTGAACTTTTAGCTTATCTTGAAAGAAGAAAAAGTTAAAATGAAAGAAGCCCTCGACGAAAAAGCAAGACAGCTCTCAACTATTGAAGAAAAATACACGCGCCAAATTAACGAACTTAATTTTGAAAAAGAAATATTGCAAGAAAACCTTGAAGTCTCCCAGCAAGACGTGGAAGATCTCGAAGAAAAGCTAAAGAAAAGTAAAGAAATTAAACCTACAATAACAACCGTTATTACTGAAACAACGGAGATTATCAAGTCAAAGCCAAAAATGTAAGTCATTTTCAGCCTTCTCTTCTTCAATCAGACTTCTAGTAACAACGGAACCTACCTAAAAGTGGAATTCGAAAAAGACTCCTCCGAGTCCGAATCCGACGAATCAGCCGATCAGAGCATATTTGCGCGAGCAAATTCAAAATTTCGAAAAAATCCAGGAAACAAACGATAGATTGAGATTGACCTCGAGCGACACGCCTGATTGTGACGACTCACACAGCGTTTCTAGCTCTATAATAGCGGTAAATACGAAGCTAGAAAGTCTGTTTTTTTAAACAGCTGTTTTAGTACTCTCCATCGATGAACGAGTTGAGACTGGTCGACTCCAACCGATTATCGACCAGTTCTTCCAACAACACCACAACGCAGCACAAGTCGACACTGTTCAAAGTTGCGGAGATGCGTGCTCAACTCGGCCTGCTACCCATCGCTGATCAACAAGTAGCGACGCTGGAAAATGAAATAACAATGGATAATAACAATGGTAATTAACATCTTTGATGATCGAAAAGTTGTAACTTAATCAAACTTTCCTTTTGGACTGAATCTACCCCCATAACTGACGTAATTCTTGATCACGTAATCATAGAATACTCGCCATCCCTGGTGTCTCTCCTCAAGCTTTGAAATTTCTTGGTTCAGGAGATCTGCGAAGCATTCGTTAACAAGCGAGTTATCCAACGGGAGATATCCGAGCGAATATATAAGGCGCTTCACTTCTTTCGCTTCGTATGCTTCCCATTCTGAACCTAGCCCACACTTTGGGCTTTTAGCATATCTCGACATTGCTTTATAATTTTCATAAAAAATAAATTTCTTTACAAAAATCAAATACTACAGTTGCTAAACTTAACTTTAGATTGATCAAGACAATGTTTACTTGCGATTCACATCTGACTACAGTATTTCGACTTTTCGGAATTATGAAGATAAGCAATTCATGAAGCTTGATATTGATGTTTCTACTGTATAAAGGTGAGTAATAATTTAAGAAAATTTCCTTGCCACATGTGAAACATGCAGAAAAATATGTCCAATTTGGGTCCAAAAACCTCACGAAAGGCTTCGATATAACCACTTTCCATGTCCATGCTGACGCCCTCAAGGTTTTCCAAGCCAGCCTCGCTTTTGATTCCTTCCAAAAACTCTCGATAAGTAGACGCCTTTTTGTCCGGAAGAATCGCGTATATACGGCCAGCGGAGAAATCCTTGAGAGCGTTTTTTGCGAGTCGCGAGTTATTCAAGTTTTCGCTTAAACTACAATGGAATGTACAATTTGTCCCACGCGGTTAAATGGTGTTTACAGATATTTTTTAGTTAGCTTAGACGCTGTCCTTGCTTTGGTCCTCAGTGAATTTGCAGGGTTGTTGAATAATAACAAGCTGCGCTGATGGCCCAAGACCAAGTTCAGCTCTAACCTCGTCCATTATGCTAAAACAGCCGTCTATTGCTATAAGTCTTGCTTTCCCAAGCTGTTGAAGATCATGTCTCGTTGAGAAAATAATATATTTTTTGAAGGCGCTGTGCTGGAACTCGTCTTCAGCAGGAAGGCAGCGCCATCTGACTGTTCCAAGATTGTTACCTCCCTCCCAAACATCGACCTTTTCTTTCTTCAATTTCAATTTGAAATATGAATTTCTGTTGCTGGCCAATTTGTTTTTAACGCTGTTGTTTTTAGATAACTCTTCGACAAAATCCATCAAAGACATTTCTTCCTTTTTCTCGTCGCGTTCCAGTTTTCTTTTTTTTGGATTTCGTTTTTGAATATTAACAATCGATTTCCAATTGTAATAACCATCCTCGAGCACGTCAAATTCAACAGCGCAATTTTCTGGAAGAAGTTTTTCTTTTGCTTGGTTTCAGTCGGTTTTTCTTCGCAAACATTGTTGTCTTCCTTGATTTCAGTCGCTTTTTTCGCTTTTTTTTCAGCCCTTTTTTCCTTTGTTATGTAATTTTTTGTCGCTTTTTTTGAACAGTGGCAATCTTCAGATGTTCTTTATTGTGAATTAATCATTATGTTCAGGGACGAACCGCGTCAAGAAGCACAATAAAAAACAGTGGGATGATGAGAGAGAAGAAATGGAAGCCAAAATCAACGAGTTGGGAAAAAACAACGAGTATACCAACAGATTCGACGCTCTAAGCAAGCAGATCATTGAGAAAGACAACGACGTGAACGAGCTCGGCGAATACCAAGGCGATACTCATCGGAGAACGAGATGAGATGAAAGAAAAGGCCAAGACAGAAAGTGAAGAAAACAAAAAGCTTTCTGACCAGATGGAAGCTCTGCAAAATAAGCTAGAAGAGACCGAAGCTAACGTGATCAGTATTGAGGAAATCAGAGATTGAAAAAGATGTTCTCGGAGGAGTTTTGACGGATATTTGGGGATCGCCGAAGAAACGAAAATCCCCAGATTGCACTCCTATAAAATCAAAAAGGTAAATTTGACGAAAAAAAGTGGTATATTGACTTCTCCATAGAGCTTTATATGAATAGGTTTTAGTGCGAGAATAACCCTAAATTTCAGCCTGAGACTCGCCTCACCCAGAACACCGTTATCGCCATCAAAAATCAACATCGAGAACAACAGGCTAGTTACAGAGGCTCAAAAACGAACTGTCAAACGAAACCTCTTCGACGACGTTCCAGTTAAGAAAATCAAAAAAATGCCACTGCGAAAACTTCGGTAAAATCAAAGCGGCGCTAAATTTGGAGTTCCCGGATAAGATTCTCGGACGAGAAGCCGAATTTAAAGCGATTAATGGATTCATTTCTGGCTGTTTGAAGAAAGAAGAGGGCAACTCGATGTACATTTCCTGGCACGGGAAAGTCCGCTACAATCAATGATTTGATTAAGGAGCCTGGCCACGAACACACGGGTAAGAGTATGTTAATTATCGATCTATCCTTCATCTTTTATACAATGATTAAATTTCGGTTATAAATATTTTTCAGTTTTTATCAACTGCATGGCGGTGAAAAAAGCAGATCAAATTTACAAAAGTCTACTAGAAAAATTCAACTCGAAAATCGCTATTCGAAGAGCGAAACTGTTTTGTATGACTTGTTTGATTCGGCTGGCTCGTGTTTGATTCTGATCGCCAATGGTTTGGACTTGCTCGATCGAGTCCTACCAAATTTGAGCAGAAGGAATCACCCCAAACAGTACAACTTCGGTCCTTACACGGTGGTGCAAATTTTCGACTTGGTCAAAGACACACTCACGCCTGAAATGCTTACGAAACTTGAACCGACCTTAATCCTCATGTGTGCAAAAAGGTAAAGCTAATCACTTAATCTCCGAATCTAAAATTCTCCCAAGAATATCAAAACATATACTGATCGAAGCACTGAAGATGTTCCCTTTCAGCAACAGCTAATTATCATCGAATTGCGCAAAAGAAATTTCGTAAGTAAATTATAAAAAGAACATTCCTGTAGCACTGTAAATCGACCAATTTCTTAAATTCCAAAATTCCTCATCATCTGGATTTGATGTTATCATTCGTAGGCAGATTTTAGCTCGACATCCTCGGTTCGCCGCTTTACATCGTAAACGGACAAGAAGGACTGTTCCTTTAAAATTTTGATAATATTTTCGAGTAATTATATATACAAAAAAATTATTATTAAATAATAAAGCGCTGCATTTAATTTTGATGATAGATTTATCAATTTTTCCTTTCTTCCGAGAGGTAACGCAATCGCGAAACTGCCGTGCAGTAGTGTGAAATTCAAACAACTGCAGGTAGCTTTTAAAATAGAAACGGATTGCTCCTGTCCCCGCACAAGGCAGGACGGCGATTAACTCGGGAGACTCATAAGATGCATCCAGCAGTTTTGTGTATTGCATTTTCTTTTCATAGATATTAAATAATCCTGCAATAATAATAGAATAATTCAGAATTTTTATAAATCTTTCCTGCATTGGTTTCTGTATTTTCCAACGCCTTTCGGCGGAACTCATAATCCAAGGCGTTCTAGCTGCTTTTAGTTGCGACATGATGCGAAACTAACATACAGGCACAATAATGGCTGTGCATGTAAAATAATTCTAGAGAAGCGATTTTTTATTGAACAGAAAGAAACTGAGAAAGTAAGAAACACTCTAATTAGTATATTCAGAACCACTCGGCGAATGCGTTGTACTCCTCAATTGACGACTTGCCAGCTTTTGACCCAGAACTAGCGAAGAACTTGGCATATGTCAAGCACTGTGAGGATGCGGAGACTTGAGGCTCAATTTCGAGTGGACGGAAGATATTCTAGGAGTGGGTTGTTGATTATTTTTGTTGACTTAGTTTGATAGGGTTAAATTAATCCAACCTCGATCCGGCCAGATGAAAAGCAACGAGCTCCGCACTGGCGGGCGCGACATCGCTGTCACAAACCAAAATAGGATTTCTTATATTCATAGTGTGGCGCATTTCCGGCTCTTTAGGCAGATTAAGGCTCAATCCGCGGCATTCTCGGCGAGTGTGCAAACTCTTCAACTCATCGAACATTAGTATTCCTGCACAAATGAAAAAAAAACTATATAAATTTACAGTATATTCGCAGTTAAAGCAATATATACTGATAAAAAATGGTTAAGTTTTATTTTCGGACATATTTATTTGAATCAAATTGCTCAGTAAAAAAAATTTTTGGGTCCAAGGGGGGGGTCGAGTACAATTGATAAGAGTCGATGATTTCATTTTTTGATTTTTGAGATTTTTGACTCTCGATTTTCCTGGTTTGGTACAAATCCTGGTTTGGTACAGATCATGGTTTGGTATGATTTTGAAATTCGTACCAAACCAGGATTCATACCAAACCATGATTCGTACCAAACCAGGATTCGTACCAAACCAGGAAACCCCTTCTATCCGTGAACAAGGTTTTTGAGATGTTGGATCTCTTCTTTACCGCTTTCGTACATCAGGTTAAGAGTCGAGTTGAGTTTATGTCGTTCTTCCAGTGCCGAATTTATCATCATTCTGTGATTTCATTTTCTGAACTCTCTGCTCATTTTCGAACTCTCGTTCTTCTTCGACGTTTGTCACGCGGATTTTTACGGGAGCAATGTAATTAATGCGAGTTGCTGTCGTCTCACTCTTTATTGCTGCGCTGATTTTCAGTATCACTTGTCCGCAGTTCAAGGCGCCGTTGAAGGGTGATTTTCTGAAGGAGTCGATTTTGCTGACCTCGATTACCGGAGCGTGGTGAAAGAAGGTCGTTCGGGAAGGTTGTCGCATTGAGACGAATGCCATATCATTTGTCTCAAAGAGGCCGCATTTCTGCGGGTCCAGGGGTGTCGAATTGCAGAATCTCGTTAAGTTTCTTGAGAGAACTTGCTCACCACACTGCTCCGGCTGAAGTGAAGTACTACTACATGCATACGTTGGTGAAAAACGCAGACATAACGCTGGGTTCATTGATAACACTTCTGAGGACGGCATTCGGACGAGAAATTGCGGGATGTCAAGTCTTCTTCTTGTTGCTGCGTCCTGGAAATATCCCAGATTTATCACCTGGAATCTTTCCGCTTTCAGTTGAAGCCTGGGTATTCGGATGTGAAGATTGATGATGACTTCTTTGATCCTTAGCATTTGAGGTGTCGTCGCCGCCGCGTTCTCGGCTTGGTCGAAAGTGGTAATTCCTACGCCCATGTATCTCAGATCGGTGTACCACCGGGTGCAATGATAAGCAAAGCCGAGACAGAATTCATCTTTGACTTTCTCGTCATCAATTGTTTGCACGGCGAGGCAGTTGGCGCGAATTGTGTCGATGTAGGTTCCATACAAGGGGAGCCTGTGGTAAGTTAGTGTCATCAGGGATCGTACCATTTCTTTTCCATAATTTGAGCTGTAGGCTGCAAAATATTCGATTGTACTCTGCGGGTTGCCGTCGAGGACGTCTTTCTGCATAATTTGGTCAGTAGATATCTCGATTCCTCCTCGCACAATAATCGGGGATTGTGATTTCTTCAGTTGTTTTGCAAGTTCTCCAATCATTTCGGTGTTGAGTTCGAAGCTTTCGGAGAGTTCAGAAATCGCTCTTCGGCTGTCATCTATTTGAAATTGAAGCTCTTGATCGCGCTGCTTTGATTTTGCGTCCACATATCCTGTGTATGCGAGAGAGATGCCTGTTGCTGCTACTGTTACTCCAGCAGCTGCGGCGACTCCAACGGCTCTCTTCTTCCTGCTCGTGTTTCGTTTGGCGGATTGAGTTGATCTCGCTGTTCGTTTCTTTAATGTATTAACTCGTCTCTGGTTTACCATTTCGTCGAGTTTTTCGGCGTAAGCATCTGTGAAGAGAAGATCGGCTCCGATCATGTCCAAAAGAATATCGTCGAAGACCCGGAAGGCTGTTTCGCAATGTTCAGAGATGGTTTTCATTGAGTTGTCGCTAGGTTCGAGGTCGAAAAAATTCTTTTCTTTACCGATGATTCCGCTCTCCGGGTACCCACAGTCGGCTTGTACGCTTTCTCTAAACTGGTGGTATGGGCTTGCAAACATTATCGGGATTTGTGTTGGTGCGCTTGCATCGAAGACGTAAATATCTTCTTTTTTGGAGAAGATGATACCATTCTCTCTATCAAAGGTGAATAGTTCGGCGAAAGCTTGGGCGAGGATGAAAAGGATTTTTGTTTTCATCGTCGATTTGTTTGTTTTTTCTCCGCGACGTCCAAATTTATGTTGCCTGTCGGCGCCTCTGAGCAATTTCTCGTCAGCAGGTGACATCAGCTGTTTTCCAAATTTAGGCCATCGGCAGGTCATCGGGTCATCTGATTCCCGGAGTCGCATCTCATCTGATCTGATTTAATTTTCCCCTTCTATGCGTTCCAGAAAATCGGTGTTAACTTCATGACGAGAGTCAAAAAAATTTTGTCCGGACAAAATTTTTGGTTCTTTGAAACTCTGTAGATTCTTCATTATTGATGGCAACGGGTTGTTTGACAGCTTCCCACCCATTTTAAGGCCGATTTTCGGATGACAGCGAATTTCAAAAGTGGCCTTAAAATGGATATTTTTTTTCTCGAGCTGGATGACAAAAATTTTTTTTCATTCTTTGGAAAAAAAATGATGAATGAGGGTTATAGGGTTATCGCATATTTCTTTCGCTGAAGAAAGTATAAATCATGGACTTTTTACAAATGTGTCCTTTGAATTGAACTCAAGGTGATTCTTTTTTTTCATTATTTCAAAAATTATATTCGAAGAACACGTCTGAAAAAAGATAAACATGACAAATGCTAAGAAAAAAGATTTGAAGAGATTCTAGTGAAGACCTCAAAGAACAGTGACGTGGAGAAGACAATTACAGTTAATTATGGAATTTTTGGACATTTTTTGTCCCAAGATTTTCGCGAAAATGTCCATAAATTTGATACACGCGGCCAAAAAAAATATCCCATCCAAATCGCTTAAAAAATTTTTTTTGAGAAAAATCTCCATCATTCTTTGTTTAATCCTTCTTCTAAAGACAAAAAATGTTTAAGGGGTACGAGATCAACCTTCAATCTTATCTTTCTCAAAGAAAAAGTAAGATTTTAATATGAAAAAACTTCATATCTGGCAAAAATAACAGAAAATTTAAAAATACGGCGCAGAAAATGTCCAAAAATTTGATACGGGCACTTTTAAAAAGTGTCCCAAGAAAACCCCATAAAATAGCAAAAATGTCCAAAAATTTGATGTCCAAAAATTCCATAAAAAACTGTACTGAGCTTTTTCTATAGAAAAATGGTCTGTAAATGCGTCTGTGTATTTATACTCGCCTATTTTATGATAGATTGGAACTCTTGGACTCAAATCTAAGTGAAAATTTGAAAAGAAAAAATCATCAAAGAGTAACGAAAAAGAGAAATGAAAAGTATCATATTTTACCAACTCTTGATTAAACACAATACAGTCGAAAATGGATTTTTTGAGGATGACAGATTTTGGGGATTTTCCGAAAAAGTGGCCTTAAAAGGGCCGGCCTTAAAATGGGGTGGCGGGCGCCAAGGTTCACAATCGGTTGGTTCACAATTTTGTGAACCTGGTTCACAATTTCGGTCAAAAAAGTGACTCCAATTGACTGAAGGCGCGGTTGAAGAGAAAGTAAATAACTTCAAATTTGAGTTTTTCTCTGAAATCAGGAGCGGAGCGCATATGGACCCCTGATTTCGTACTTTTAAAAATTTTGTGAACCGGGTTCACACAGATTGTGAACCGGGTTCACAAAATTGTGAACCGGGTTCACAATTGTGAACCTAGGCGCCCTACATCCTTAAAATGGGTTATCACTGTATTTCAAATAAGAATGTATAGTTAAGTGCAGATGATTTACTTACAAATTATCATGTTGAACTACCCTACCCTTCCATATCACCAACTCTGTTCGTGACAAACGGCGACATTACCAGTGTTGCCCGCATAAAATCGAATGAAAAATCGACAATAACTATTTCTAGCGCTGCCTCCTTCTCGAGACGTGTTCGGATAGAGAGGCTATCGCACACACGAGTATAAGTAACATCCTGATTATTATAATCCGAGACAAGGAAACATTTTCATTTTAGCCAAGCTCTGAACAAAATGATAGAAAGAGAAAACTTGAAAAAATGATTGATCAGATTGAATTTTTTAACGGCCACGATCCTGAAGATAGTTTGTTTTCATTTGCACTATCTATATCAATCATTCAAAGCTTGGGTCGGCATGATGCAAATTATTGGGTTTTAAATTTTTGACGTACCGTGGTTTTCCATTTTAAGAGCGTTTTTGCATATACAGTACACTCGCACAATTTGGCCCCGCACAATTCGGCCCTTTTTTCGAATTTCGCTAAAACGTTAGAAAATCGCACAATTTGGCCCCCCTGACCCGTGAGTTTAGCCTAACCCTAACCTAACCTTAACGCTAACCAAGCCATCGACTTGACTTTTCTTTAGCTCTTGAATTACGACTTCTTGGAATTTTTCTTTAATTTCATCTTTTTGCTTGTATTTTGGACGGCAGATCTTCTTCGTTACTCGAGTTCCATTCGCATATTCCTTCAGAAGATCTGGACCTTCTCTTCTCCATCGTTTGTAAGTTGTGGAAGCCATCCGCTTTCCATGCTCATCTTCGAAAATTTTACTCAAATCCTTCGTCTTCATTTTTTGGATGACGATCATTCGGGTGTACTTCAATCTTGTTTCGAGAGAGACATCTACGCGAGTACTCCCTAATTTCTTCCTTGGCTTGGTTTTTCTCTCGTTCATTTTAAAGATTACATTAACCCGTTGCCGAGCGCTCCGCTAGATTGGCTTGCCGCTCGCGTAGCATTCGGAATGCTATGACTTTGAGCGCTATTTTCTTCCACTTCTACTTATTTTTTACGAATATTTTTTCTTGAAGTTATTTATCGAAGCCTCATCTAAAAGATTCATATTATTTCAGATAATTTAAACGTATTCGAACGAACGTATTCAAAAAAGACTAAAATTTCCAGAAATCAAAAAAATTTTTGAAATCGGCATATTTGATCTCAAGATATTTGGCTTGAAAGGCGCTTGTAGCATCCTGAATGCTACGCGCTCGGCAACGGGTTAAAAGATTAACTTCTTAAAACTAGCAAAAACAACATCAACTGACAGTTAATCAACGGGGGCTTAAAAAGTTTTTCGGAAGTCGCACAATTCGGACCCGCACAATTCGGCCCTTTTTCGACATATCGCAAAAACAAAAAAGGGCCAAATTGTGCGAGTGTACTGTATTTTGAAAATGTTGTCATCTGCCGTAATTCCAGTTTAAGAGCGTTTTTAAAGATTTAAAAAAATCAAAATTTTCAGACTTACAGTGAATAATTTATTAAAAAATTTTGTAATCTTTGACCGCTTTTCTGGCCATTTTGAAGTCGAAGGCTTCGCAGTGTCTCTATCACTTAACTTTAGGTTCCTTTTCAATCTCCATCGGGGTCGCCGCTCGTGTTTCATCAATTTGAAGCGCCAGAAAATGCTCGACCAGCTCTCCCTCGTCTTCTTTCTCCAGCACACTTTCCAAAACATCCAAGTCCTCAAAATCTACAACAGCTCCTTCGAATTCTTCCTCCTTGATCAGCCCAGTCAGGGTTGCATATTCACCCTCACCCTTGATCACCCCACCCTTGAAAAAGGGTGAAAATTTTCACCCTCACCCCACCCTCACCCTTTTGAGCAAAAATCGATCTTCACCCTTGATCACCCCACCCGTCTTAAAGGGTGAAAATTTTCACCCTCACCCGTGGGTGGGGTGAAGACGGGTGAATATGCAACCCTGAGCCCAGTATTGATCGAAGAGCGCTTAAAGATTGCTGGATTCATGTTCATTCGCTTTGTTCACTAGATCTTCCTCCTTGATGTTCAGATGATCATTGTTGACAATGAAATCGTCAAGAAAACATCGGATCTTTTTTGTAATTGCAGAACACAAGGTTGTCAGAGGATTGAAAATGTCCGAGCGACATTAACAATTTGTCAAACGGAAAAATTGAAAATCCCACTGTCATTGAAAAACTTCCAATCTAAGAGCGATTTGATCGAGGCCTGTCATCCAAAAAACGCTCTTAAAATGGAAAACCACGGTATATATAACAAATAAAAATCACTTCAAGTCCTCAATTATCAAGAAAAACATCGCATAGATAGGTAAAAAATGAGTAGAATTGATAATTAAAGAACTGACTCGATTAAATGTATTTAGAGAAGTGCTTAAAAAATGGTGAGCGCGAGCCACGAGCCAGGAACATCATTATTGAATGGTGGAGATTTCTTGCTCTCGTGCAATGGAGTAGAATATCAAACCTCAAAGAATATCCAAAGAATTGAGGCTAAGTCAAGCAACTTCGCTCCACGAATCGACTACAAAAAAGAAATTAGCGAGCTGGAGCGAATATCGAACACTGAGTTGATCATTCTCAGTTGCGTCCCCAACCCCGCCCACCTCCATCTGATGTTTAAATTTATATTGTCCCTATTTTTTATTTTCTTATGGTTTTTATATTATTTTTTTACTCAAGTTCACAGTCGTCAAATTTTCCTTTTGTCAAGACCAATTAAAATGAGTTCTTTCTGTTTTCAAAATTATTTTTATCACTTTAGAAAGCTTTTTAAAATAAAATGAAAATTTTCAATTTTTTCGAAAAAATTTCATTACGAATATCTATGAATTTTTTAGTTCCCCTTCGCTCACGTGAAAAAGAAATCCAAAAATACGAGAGTTCAGTGAGAGGATTTTCTTTTCGTAAAAGGGAATTCTTCCAGCTGGTGGGTTCCTCCGCCGCGGAAGCTCCGCGTGGTCCTCCGCTTAATGAAAAAGCGAAACACGCACACTTGGTGTCGCTAATTCGGGCTCGAGTCCAGGGCAACCCCCTTCTTTCATCGGTATCAACGCTCAAGATTAAAAGCGATCAACTGAAAACTTCAAAGCTAACGGCAGAAGAGACTTTCTCACATTTAGTTGGTATCGAAAACCGACATGAAAAGAAAATTCGAATTCTATTGACAATAAGCAGCCTTGGAGGAGCACTCACAGTCATTTTCATTGTTGTCATGTCAGCGAGAACTTTAGCAAATCGTTGCTTACAAAAATGGTTGCTGATTCAAATCCACCAAAGGATCGATGCGCGAGAAAGTGAAAATTGTCAAGGCAGATTCCGACTCAGAGGATCTTCAGTGGCGAATTACCTTCTAACTTGTGATTTTAGTCAAAATCCTCTCACCATGCTCTGATTCAAGATCAAAAATATCACCACTCAGCATGTCAAAGAATACGCACCCAACCAAGGAATTAAAAAACACAATCCACTTCTCATCTCAGCATATAACGGCGTAAGCGAAAATCAGCGATCAGTTTCATCATGACGAGCCAAGAGAAAGAGGAAATAATGTTCACGAAGGTTAAGATAGAAGCAGCCTTCAAATACTTGTTTCGTACTGTATTCTGTCAAGAGGAAGGAAAAATCGTGAGAGCAAAATTCATTCACCTAAAAATGTCGCCACCGTCGGATCAGATCTACAGTTTCTTCGTCCGGGAGACGTTATCGAGAAACCAAAATAGATTTTGGCAGAGAGAGTTCACTCTCGGACACGGTAATATTGAACTTGGATATCCCTCAGCGCACTGGGGAAAAATCAAGGAGAAGCCTCTCGTCATCAAATCATTCACAGAGCTGCAAAACATCCAAATATTCGACGGGGACACTGTTTTCCCAGAGTCAAAATTCCAGGCTAGTAGACTCGACACAGTAATTCAGGCAACATTTGCTGACGACATCAAACGCTGCATCCAAGACCTCACGGAGGCTTTAGCAATTTTGGTGGATGAGGAATAACCAACTCAAATCCGACCGTGACCAATTATTTTCGAGTATCACTTGCCCCGTCATGAAACACTTTTTCTTTTATCCTACATTTTCATCCTTTATGTTCTTTACTAAAATGAAGCGCATCTTTGAATACTCTCGCTATAAAACTCAATTTCGATAATGAACTTTATAATGAAACTCCTGATTTACTGTCTTGAACGCCTACTTTACGCAGTAGTGCATAATTATCATATTATGAAATATTGCCTTCCATTAGCGTTCACCGTCAAAACTTCATTTAATGAGTGAAATGAACGTGAGAAAATGACGTGAGTTGGTTTAATTCTATCTCCTCTCGCAATTCTTTTCCGATTTTTTAAATTTAGATAGGTAGAAAGTGCTCCGTTAGACATAAAATTTCGTAGTCTCAGAATTAATTTTGAAGCTTTATGGAATTTTATATGAGCTTTTGAAATGAGAGCTGCACCGTCGTGAGGCGCGCAGCGTGAGAGAAGAAGCGGCGCGGCGTGAAAGCACTTGTTTTGAGAAGCCGTGTGGAACTTAAAGAAGCTTCAAAAATAATTCTGAGACTACGAAATTTTAGGTCTAACGGAGCGCTTCCTACCTATCTAAATTTGAAAAAATCGGAAAAGAATTGCGAGAGGAGATAGAGTTAAACCAACTCATGTCATTTTCTCCGACTTATTCTTTGACGATTCTTAGGGCTTCCGTATAAAAAAGTGTTTCTGATTCCGTTCATTGTTTCCTTAAATAATTATGGGAGGGATAAATCAATATAAGAAAAGGTTTTCAGGGGCAAAAGAAATAAAAAAAAATAATGTTATATATCAAAATTATATAAATAAAAATGGTGATTTTTCATTTGTGCGTTGTCACTTGTCGATTTTTTTTATTTTTTGATATTTTTCTCCACTAAAAAATACATTCCCTCCCCGAATTTCAAACAATTCGGTCAGCCCAGTTAAAATTTTGTTTTTATACGGAAGCCCTAACGATTCTGCTCATTTTTGATCTGTGAAAAGAAAAGGCTTTGATGATCTGAAATCCGAAGAAACTTTTGAAAAAGCTTTATCCGTTCCGATTTTAGGGCATTCTGAAAAGTAGGGCACGGCGGGGCGCTGGGCGAGCGAGGCGCCGCGCGCCGATTTCATGTTTAACCCTTAAGGGATCCCCTCTCCGGATTCGGCGATTCGGAAAATTTCATCGAGAGCTTCCGTGTAATATATTTTTAAATTCTCCATAGATTGACGATCATTTTCATATACATATATTATGTCAAGGGTGATAAGCCGTGAGAAAGCTTTAAAAATGGTTTATTTTGACACAGTTTTTTTCCTCTTTTGTGGACTCAAATTTTGTGGATTTTTTCTTCATTTTCTACATTCTTCATTTTTCTACATATTTGCAAGGATAATGTTCCACTTTTGTGGACATTTGTCAAATAATAAGGATTTGTTAATTAAATATGGATGTTTTTATAAAAAATTAATGGCCTAAACCGTGTGATTGACTAAAAATGGTAAAAAGGCAGAAAAAAGATTTGAGATTTGATGATGAAATTTTCCATTTTTCAAAGATAAATTTATCGAAGAAAAATTTTAAGGCTCTAGGCTCTTTTTACAGCGGGACATTTTTTGAAGACTTTTGCCCATTTTTGCGGACATTTTTATGAAAAAATGGAGCAAAAATCTCCACAAAATAGGGGTAGTTTGTTCTGTCATTTCCCCAGTGCCCCTAACACTAGCCTCAAATTATAGAAAATACTTATTGCTAAAATAAGTTTTCTCTAGAAAATGTCTTTTTAAGTAATGACTCATTCGTAAGAATCAAAGATTTATCAAAAGAATTTTGATAATGGATTCTAGAAAATTTGCCGAAGAATCACTGTCAATTTTATCATAAATCCTTCGGTTCAAGGCAATTCTCAATTAGCCGAAGAATCAGTGTTAGTGAAAGCATCAATTCTTCGGTATTGCCGAAGCATCACCCCATACCACGAAAAGAGGAAAATAACTGTAAAAAATTTAACTTAGAAAAAATTCGTGAATTTTAGACTTTTCAAAGTCGACACAATCCAATAAATGAGTGCTCTTTAGATAACATACCCCACCCCCAAGCTTTCGCGCATTTCTCGGTGCATTTTCCGTAATTTACTCTTCCTGAGTTGTTCAAAACCCCCCCAAATTTACGCCGCTTAACTTTTCCGCGTGCGCCCAAATTTACGCTCGCGGCGCTGATTAGATTCGTCGGTTAACTTTCTGAGTGCGCAAAAGTCTTGTTTTGCTCTCTCCGGGCAAAGAAAGGATGATCTTTTATAAATAGCCAGATTCACTTATAGGTAGGGAGGGGACACAAAAATGAACTTTCTCAGCAAACGTCGTAGAGGCCATTTTTTGTATCCCCACCCTACTTATAGGGCAGCCCTATCTTATGTTAGCTTTGATAATATTATTGTTTATTGTTACAGTGAAGTTTATAAATATTTGATAGAACGTTATGCTAGTGCGATAGATGAAAACGACTTCTGCGGAGCAAAATCCTGAACTAAATATTTTAAGTTACTCGAATGGTACGATTTTTATGTGTCCAAGCCACGAAAAATTTCCAATTCTAGCGCCTCAAGTACATGAAAAGACTGAAATCCCTTGGTTTAATTTGGCGCTATGATTGAATAACGCGCCCGTTATTTGGAAGAAATTTGGAAACGCAGGGAAACGCGAGGAAGCGTAAATTTCGGGGCTTCGGAAAAGTTAGGAAACGTAAACTTTGGCGAAATACCACGAATTGCGCGGAAATTTAGGGGGTATGTTACCGAAAGATCCAGTAGAAGATGATGTTCTTGAAATGCAAAAAATTTAAGAACACTGGAAAAATATGTTGACAAAAATTTTTCAATTTTAATAAACCTGTTTCTAGTATAAATCGCTTATGGCTTAGCTTAAACTCATAAGTCATCGTTTGAATAGGATTTTAATATGAGGCCTATCGTTTCGGCAAGGAATACGGTTAGCGAAAATTTTCAAAAAATTTTTGGGAAAATTCCTTGATCACTTGAAGTGTGATTACACTCTCAAGGGATCAAAAGAATTTAGTGATTGGTTCATTAGCAAAAATTTTGATCACAAGGAAATTGATTATGCTAGTTTCAATTTGCAAAAATGCATCCTTCAATCAGCACTATGCATCTGATTGAATTATTGATAAAGTATATTTATGAAGAAAATTCACCAGCAAAAATTTTGCCTAGATATCGAGATGATAAAAACAAATTACTAAAACCAATTCCAAAAAGTATTCTTCGGCCAATTTTGAATTCTGTTCTAACGCGACTCACCTCATTTTATTGTTTTGATAAATATTTTAAGCAAATTTCTGGACTCAGTATGGGTGACAGTAGCTAATACTGTATTAGCCCGAAGCTGGCAAATTTTTATCTAAATGTTCTTGAAAAAGATAAAATTAAAGATTTAATTGATCGAAAAGTAATTTTTTGTTATAAACGCTTTCTCGATGATACAATTGGGTTTTAAAACGTGGTTGTCTCGAAGAAGTCAACAATATTTTTCAAAATCTACACGAAAGTCTGAAAGTAACAGTTGAAAGATCTTCCCCAAATACATGTAGTATTGAATTTCTTGATTATATAATTTATCCGTCAGAATTAAATATCCTTCAAATTCGCAGTAATCGTAAACACACAGTTCCCATTAATTTCGTAAAAGATACTGCTCCGGTGTCTTTGAAAAAGGGAATTCTTTTATCAGAATTTAAAAGATCAATTTACAAAAACTCTTGTCAAAAAACTCTAGACGATGAGTTCGGAGAGATAGAACAGAAATATCTCGCCCAAGAATATCCCCTAGAAATTATTCGTGATGTAGTCAGAGTAGTGAAAGAGGGCAAAACGGACAAAAAAGACTGCAAGCTTGAAAAAAGTGAATTCCCCGAAGGGAACTCTACACTTTGCATCCCATTCACTAGTCAAAGGGTTTCGAGAATTACAAGTGAACTGCGTAGGGTTATATCCGTCTTTTTGCCCCAGTTCAACTAACATACGGCATGAAGAACTGTAACGATGCGTTATACGATTATCTCCAGTCTACTGCCGAAGACGGAATTTGAGAAGGCCATAAATGTGGTGTACTCATTTAAATGTTGGTGCGGCCGAGAGTATATTGGAGAGTCGGAATCCCAGAGCATGAGAATCCGAGATCATCGTCAACCTTCCAAAGATACAGCTATATTTTCTCACACAAAGGATTGCGATGATTTTAAGACAGGATTTAATGAGAAATATACGCAAAATAATCCAGAATCGCGATTTAAATATACAGTGAAACCCAAACTTAAGGCCACTTTTTGGATGACAGCTAATTTGAAAAGTGGCCTTAAGTTGGGTGATTCTCCAACTAAGTTGGATGACGCTAAAATTTTCTATTTCTGGAGCAAGGGACTGAATCTGGCCTCGGAATCCTGTACACAGGAACATTTTATTTTTTGGCCCATTTTCGAAACAGGAAACAGGACAGGATAAAAAACACAGGAACAGATCCTGTTTTACGGGTTTCACAGGCTTTGGCAAAGCCGCTTTGCAGGCCTGTAAACTCAAATTTCACGGTTTTAATTTTTCCTTGATGAATCAAAATTTAAAATATTTTTCTCGTTATTATCATGCCAACAGACAGTTTCAATTATAAAAGTTTCTTTATAACATATTTGAAAGAAATTCCAAGAAATTTTTTACGAAAAATATCTTATCTTCCCCATTTCTCGCCTGTTTTCCTGCGATTTACTTACTGTGAATAAAAATGGAAAAAAAGTGGCCTTAAGGGGTCCTCCCCCGGAATTTCAAATCTTAATAACGGGTCATTTTGTCGCATATTTAGATTCCTCGTTATCTGAGGATCATTTTTATGTATTATAGTACCCCTAACAAATATCTTAACCCAAAATTTTGGCCTTCGAAAATTGCAAAAATGCATGTAAATTGTACTTAGCGTGAAAAT